TGGAGAAAATTAGATTGTAGAAGACTGCAGTGCAGTTCACACTGCTGTTCATTTTGAAAAAATTTTTTTGTTATGCCTTAGATATGGTTACATGTCAGTTCCAAATGGAGTAAACCAAATATGGCATTGCTGTGAGGCTGTTCTCTTTCCATTCAACAGACGTGTTTCAGATTCCACAGACAGCACTAGATAATAGCTACCTTCTACAGATATTGTCTGTATCAAGTAGGGATATATTCTTTTCATTTATGTACAAAGTGGAGTGAGATCTGGTGACGAAGCGCATGCAAACCTGCAGCGTTAATTATACAGAGTCTCCCAAAAGTTTTAAAAGCTTAAAACTGCACTAAGACTTTTGGGAGACTCTCTATGTCTGGAACTTTTGTTGAAGGGGAATTAAGAAGACTACTGCTAAGCAGAGTTAGGATGATCAGGGATTTCTTTCAAAAAGACCAACAGAATCTATAGGGTCAAGTGATTATTTGCATTCCTGTCAGTTTTCCCTGAAATAACCCTGCTGTGGTATATGTTAGGCACAGAGAGAGCTTGATTCACCCAAAGTCACCAGTTGAGGGTCAGCTTGAACCAGATTTTTCCCCAGGACGTTTTAAGCTAAAGCATGAAATGTGAAAAATTGGATTAAATGGCGTGGAGTCATGGCGTATCATGTATTCTCTGCTTGCAGTTTCACTTCTTCAGTCTGCAGCTTTATGGATGACTTGTGCTTTGAGATGTAAATTGCCAGCATTTTATTTTCTCCATAACAGGAACGTGGATTGGGCTTCCCTGTAGTATGAAAAGGGAGTTCTTATCAGGTATAAAATAAAACTTGCTATCACTTGCTGCTGTAAACTTGATATAAATGATGTCACAGGAAATTAAAATGTTGGGCAAACAATTTTACATTGACTAATTCTTACTGAAACTTACATCAGAATGGTTCCAGTCCTAAGCTTCAGTTTCCATGCTGACATTCCCTGGAAATTCCTTCCATGCATCTGCTCAGCACATTTTATTTATAAAAGTATGTTAGCTATCCTGCCATCCTGCTCATCAAAATAGTGGCTTAGGCAGTTAACAACAAAGACCCCCAAAGACCCCCAGCAGTTTGTTCAGGGTTTTTTCTTAGCAATAGATTAAATCTAGAACGTGGAATCATCTTGTCTGATGTTACCTCTCTACTGATAAAGAACCAATTCAAAAGCTGAGAGCTGACAGATTCATTACGCCAACCTAATGGTTGTCTAGTATGTACATGCTCTTCCAAGAATACATAATCATCTTTTTTTGCAACAGCCCAAGCATGATGTTTGTGTGTATGTGTGCATGTGTATTAAAGAGTGAGAAAGACACGTTCCATGTTTTGGGAATATAATATAAAAATACATTAATATCTTTACCCTTAACTTCTTTCCAAGAACACAATTCCCCATAGTAATAACATCTAACAAAAAAGAACTAGCAGAGGATAGGCACTGTTACTTCACATTTATTACATCTCTAGCATAGGAAGAACAATGATCAAACTTTTTGAAAACATCTGTTGAATCCAATACCTCCCCCCCCCCCCAAAAAGCTCCTCAGTTCTAATTGAATTACTCTATGTCCAGGTAGGTGATGGTGTTTCTCAGCTTATTAATGCCACTCACGCACTGTATATCATTTCATTTGCATCAGAGCTGAGATTCCTGTCTGGTTAGGCTATTAAAGCTATGTCATTTGACTTAAAAATATTGTTTTCAACATTAAAAAGAAAGCCTTGGTAGAATTTCAGTGGGCTCAAGGAGCATGCTTCAGTCCTTTCCCTTATAACTGAGAGAAATAGCTTGCCAAAGTATGAGTTCTAGTTAATCATCCATTGTCTCCTGATTATTCTTTGAGTTCAGTGTAAATGAATGTGTATGTTCTGAATGTAAAAGCTGTTGAAATTTTACTGTTAAATGAAAGTATGAAATAAAATGAACTTAGTGTTACAAAGCCATCCTGAATATTTCCTCTTTTATTCCTTGATGGCGGTGCTGCACAGCACCCTGATTGCTTCAGAAAGAAATGTACCTTAAATATACAATTGTCCCAGTTACTATAGCTCCTTTTGACCCATTCTGGTTTGTATCTTTTAAACTCTTGTTATAACTTTGCATGCTGGGTTGTGACAGCAGCCCAACCTTTCTCTAATGTTGTGGTTTCCTTAAGAAGCCAAGTTCTTTTTTGACCCTGAAAGGAGAGCTGTTCATATTTTGTTCCCCCAAAGGATCGAATTGTATTTCCAAATAAATTATGCAAATGGCCATGAAACAAAATTGCACATAATGACTCAAGTCCTTTTGTTATTCTGAAGTCAAATCTTTGAGGTTTTGTTGAAGGGAAAACATGGTGAAAAAGAGTAAAGGAATCTGGTGATTTCATGGAGAAGAGATGTGTGACTTCATCCCTATGCGTACTATTTCTTCCTGTCGCCACTTACACACAGATCAGTATTATTACCCAGGGAAAAAAAAAGGTTCATTTAATCTAATGAAGTTAGAGTTAGGATATCTTCCTCTCCACACCTATCCATTTGGGAGGCCTACCAGAGTTGGGAAAAGAGGTATTTGATCAAAGTGTTTATCTCACTCTGCACTTGTGAAATGAAGAATCTCTTCAGATCCATCTTCTTTATTATCATAGGTTTGGAGCTTGGCTTGGCACATAAGGAAGTCGATTTCCCTACCTGCCAATACAAGGAATGATAAATTTGCTTTCATTTTCTTCCTCTAAGCTTAATGGAGGGGGGGGAAGGAAGGAAGG